CGGCGGCGGGGGATCCATGCGTCGTCACAGGACCCCTGCCGCGGAGGGACAGCAATACGTGATGCACTGCCAGTGCATCGCGTATTGCTGTCCCCTCGCGGCAGGGATCCTGTGACGACGCATGGATCCCCCGCCGCGGCTTGGCAGCCCCAGTTATTCTGGAGCTAGCTTGAGCTGGCGGACCTCAGTTCTCACCAAAAAGTCTGTCTGCCCGTCTGACTCTAGAGCAGTGGCTTTCGATCCTGACTTAGAGAGCTCATGAACCTGCCTTATACGGAATCAGGCCGCTGGTTTATCAAGGTCAGTATTGCCTACTCTCTCAAGGGTCTCAGGTGGAGGTCTTTCTCATCACCTTCTATCTGATCTTCAATAGGAGATGCCAGGGATTCAAACTGAGACCTTCTGTGTGCCAAAGTCGGACAGGCAGCAGCTCTCCAGGGTCTTGGGGGAGTTCTTTCACAACCCCCTACTACCTGATCCTTTTAACTGGAGATGCCGGGAATTGAACCTGGGCCCTTCTGCATGCCAAGCAGTTGCCCTACCACTGAGCCACGTATGAACACCTGTGAAGCTGCCTTGGCCTGAATCAGACCCTTGGGTCCATCACGGTCAATATTGTCTACTCAGATAGGCAGTGGTTTTCCAGGGTCTCAGGCAGAGGTCTTCCACGTCACCTATTGCCTAGTCCTTTTAACTGGAGATGCTGGGGATTGAACTTTGGGCCTTCTGCACGCCAAGCAGATTTTTTGTGACTGAGTCTCCTTGACAAGGACCATTTACTCTACTAGATTTGTGGACAGCCAGGAAGGCCAGTCCGTTAACGGCAGGGAAGTCAGCATACAGATGGTGGTGGGGACAAAAATGGCACCTACCTAGCAGCTGGAACAGGGGTGGGGAGCAGTGTTCCCTCTAAGCTGAGTTAGTGTGAGCTAGCTCACAGTTTTTAGCCTCCAGCTCACACATTTTTGTCTTAGCTCAGGAAGGAAGGCTCCAGAGCAAACTAATTTATACAGCAGCCAAATCACTCGCTCACACATTTAATACCAGTAGCTCGCAAAGTAGAATTTTTGCTCACAAGACTCCACAGCTTAGAGGGAACATTGGTGGGGAGCAACCCTCAACCCAAACTTAAGGAGCCTCAGGTCGTTTGGGGTGCTCAGGTAGGTCCTGAAACCTCAGTGGCTGGGTTGTGAGGCCTTGTGGAACTGCCTTTGGGGGGGCAGTGCTTTATGGGAATACTGCTCCTTTTGTGCAGGTGTGAAGAGAGAAAAGGAGATTGAATTTATACCCCCGCCCTTCACTCAAGAGTCTCAGAGCAGCTTCCAATTTTCTTTCCCTTCCTCTCCCTACAAGAGGCACCCTGTAAGGTAGGTGGGGCTGAGAGAGCTCTTGCGAGGACTGCTCTTGCGAGAACAGCTCTGAAAGCTGACTGCTACGTCACAGTTGGAGCCGTGGTGGCCCAGAGGAAGGTCTGTCGTTCGGCAGTTCGAGACCTGAGTGCCATGTGACGGAGTGAGCTCCCGTCTCTGGCCCCAGTTCCTAGCAGTTCGAAAGCAAGAAATTGCAAGTAGATAAATAGGGACCGCTTCGGTGGGAAGGTGTCCCGGCCAGTGCCCAGCGGCTGCGAGAAAGGAGGGGCTGGCCGGGGACGTCGCCGGACTCACCCCAGGTCCCGGTGGAGACGGCAACTCCAGCAGCGGCCGGGAGGCGAGCGAGCAGAGCGGCGGAGTCCCGGCGGGAGAGACCGGCGCAGAGCGGCCGGAGGCGTGGCAAAGCGGCGGCCGCCGAGAACAAGCCCCAGCGAGGAGGGGGAAGGCCGACGCGGACCGGCCAACGGCGCGGCAAGGCGGGGGCTGCAGGGGGCGATCCCCAAGGGGGAGGGAAGCGAGGGAAGAGAGGTGCGCGGTGACGGGACGAGCCCGCGTGCAGGCGGCCAGGGAGAGTCCCATGGCCCGCGGGAGCATGGGGGCGGGGCCGTGGCGACTGGCGCCCAGGCTGACCGCGACATTCTGATATATGGCTGGCTCTCAGCTACAGTATACCTTCTAGTGCTTCTGTTCCCTGGTCCAGCTGGCTCCCTCTGCTGTCCAGGGGTCTCCAGCTCCAGTGATCTTACAATCTTGGCTCCTCCTCTTCCTGCTAATAGGACTGGGAGTCAGCATGTCTCCCTGTCATGTGCTTGCAGCTCAGTGGGACCGGTGCTAATTCAGAGGTGTGTGTGTTAAACTCTGGGGGGGGGGGGTCTTGGTTCAGGGGAAGAGCATCTGCTTGGCGTGCCAAAGGTCCCAGGTTCAGTCCCCAGCGTCTCCAGTTAAAAGGATCTAGCAGTAGGCGATGTGAGAGACCTCCACCTGAGTACACAGTACTGACGTTGATCGACCAAGGGCCTGATTCAGTATAAGGCAGCTTTGTCTGAAAACGCTGACGGCTGTTCTAGAGCACCCCTCCCCCAGCACTCACAAAAGAAAGATGACTAGTGGTTAGAAAGCCCTGACCAGCATAGTCCGGACTGGCCCAGATCTTGTCAGATCTCAGAAGCTAAGCAAGGCTGCCCATGGTTAGTACATGGATGGGAACCCGTCAAGGAAGTCCAGGGTCGCTACGCGGAGGCAGGCAATGGCACGCCACCTCTGTCCGTCTCTTGCCTTGAAAGCCCTACAGAGGTTGCCTGAGTTGGCTGTGACTTGGGGCACTTTCCTCCACCGGTGGTTAGAAAAAGATCCTCCGGGGACATTTCTCTGCTATTATCATCATCGCAGGACCTCTGATAAGCGGCATGGAAACCCAGGTTCTTGGGAGCACCTTTGAAAACCGTTGTTCTCCGGTGTTTTACTGAACACCATGAAGGGGCAGGTTCTGCTGGAGTGGTTCGGACCTCCCAAGTCACACGACAAACATCCTCCCACAAACGGTTGCCACGGGAGCCCGCCTGGCTTGCGTTTGCAAAAGCCACCGTGCTGCCCACTTGGTGCGTCGCCTGCATTTCCCTTGCTTTGGGAATGGGCCCGCCATTTCCCTGCTCTGGGACGAGAGAGCGGCGGTGTAAGGGATGAGAGAAATGAGTTTATACATCGCTAAGCCGCAGTGATCAGAAAGGAGCCTACGTTTGGGCAGGATTCTACCTTTAGGGAGGGGAGGCTGTGTGCCGTGGTAATTACCAGCACCTGCAAGGTTTCGTTATCTAATGGGAGCTTTGGTTAGATAGGGGCAGGGGTCATTTCCTGCAGGAGAGCACAGGAGCGGAGCTCCGGCAGTAAAGAGCCCAGGGGGCAGGCACATGCAACAAGCCCCACCCCCTGCTCCCAGCAGCCCTCAGTCAGAGCAAGAAGCAGCCAGGTAAGCTGCAGAGGCCCCCCCAGCCCCCCAGCCCAAAACAGACCAGTAGCACCTTTAAGACCAGGTTTTATTCAGGTACAAGATCTCCCTCCTCTGCGAGGACAGATCTGCATGTCCCCCCCAATAGCTAGCAATCCAAAACAGTCCAGTGGAGCGGTGGGTGTTGCCTTCTGACACAGTTCCGGTGATGTCAGGGTGTGTGGCATATGCTAATGAGTTATGCTAATGAGCTCCTGAACCTCTTTTTCT